TATTATTATTATTATTATTATTATTATTATTATTATTATTATTATTATTACTACTGTATACTTTAAAACACCTCTGGCCTACAGTGTATTTTGTGTGAACTCTGTAATTGCTTTATTTATCCACTAGGGGACTCACTTCAGGCGAACAACCTAAGGTGCAGTATAAGTTCCAGCTGTTAGAGGGCGCTGTTTGCCAGGGACAACTTGTCACCATTCAGTAGAGCAAGACAACCTCGCTGCGGCTTTTTCGGTTCAGTCTGGGAGAACCAAGACCTCAGAGAAGAGGTGGAGTTCGCTGTTCTTCAACTTCGCGGGAACGAGACATAGTCTGCAATGTGGACACAGAGCTGAAAATACATATAAGCGGGCTCTAATACACGACAGGTAACTTTTATTTGTGTAGTAATTTTTTTGTTTTACAAAATGGTTTAGTTAGTATCAGTTAGCCTAGCTGAAACTCCGACGTGGTTAGCTAAACGTCAGCGGCGGCTATTTGCTTTGTTTTAGAATATAGATTTCGACCACGATAAAAACCAGGTAAAGAAACGCACCTGTTGTCAGGTTTTTTTTGTTAGTTTTATAATGTTCTTTTAGATACAACTTACTCTGTATTTTTAATCCTAGCTGTGGCCAGCTAGCTTCCCCGACACGACCGTGAGAGGTATGAACCAGTGCTGTCACTTTTCAGGCTTAATATTTTCCTCCTTAACGTGGCGTTTGTTGCTCGCTGTGGTTCAGAACATTAAAACACAAACCTAGAGAGCAAGTAAGGGTTAAAAAGCTTACCGAGCTAAAGCCAGGTATTATGATTAGCAAGCTAACGATACTCACGTTGCTGCGGTTCATTCAGGAAGAGTAGAGACACAATTGAGAAATCTTGTTTGTCCCTCGGTGCAACATCAAGCTCTGACACCTGAAAAACACCCTCCGCTTCAAAAAAACATTTTTTTTTACACTTTACCAGTGCTTCTATCAAACAAAATGCCATCGTAAGTACATGTCAAGAAATTGATCAAACATCTGGCTTATGCGTGTTTGCCTAGTGCCTAGCTTAGTGTTGGAAAGAAATGTTTATATGAGCTTATGTTCAGTATTTTTTGTTACTATCCAAATACATTTTGACAAGTTTGTTAATTTCTATAATAAAATATGAGACACTATATAAACAGTCAAGTAATGTCAATGCGATTAAATTACTGGGTCACACAGCTCCTCTTACTAAACTTACCCTGTCATTGAATAGTTGATATGGGTGAGTGTATAAATCTATAAATATGACAAGAACAATTATAACCGTCACAATTAATGTAAGGCTCTCTTCTTTTCAGCACACCGCAGGCATGGAGCTTCATAAATCTGTGACCTTGTGGATATTTTGTGTGTGCCTCGTTGGAGAAATTGTGACTGAAAAACAAAGTTTACTTGCAATGGACAGTCAGATTGATGACAGTGGTTTGTCAGGTGAGTGAACAGACATTACATTATTTTTTTTATAGCATTTTGAAAGACTTAACATTTTTTCCCAGTTAAAACTACTCAGACAATCATAATATAGATGGAGTGATAGAGTATTGCAGTTCGTGCCACGTCTTCCTGATTGTCCAGGCACTAAATGTGGCCATGCTGAGAATAGTACGGCTGGCATTTGCTTGTAAGCCCTGTGCTCTTACATAGAGTGAGCCACCTAGCCAATTGAGCTAATGTTTATCAGACCAAACAGTGGGTTATGAAAGCCACCGGATATGTTGATAATGCACATGATGTGTTTAGTTATTCATAAATTGGGTGAATCACTCAGGTTCCTACACAATATTTGCAGTTTGTTGTTAATTTATTGGGGTTTTGCATCAAGAGTTAGTAACCTTCCAACCTTTATTGTTTGATGCAGTTTTGTCTTTTATGTTTCAATCTGTGAATCAACTTTTTGTCGATGGCAATAGTGGGTTTTATCTGTCAAGCGCACACCAGTAGCCACACTCATGACCTGCTTTGATGTTAGGTTTGTTAAAGTGTTCTAATGTTACACTTATAAAACAAATTCTGTCCACTACAACAATAGATGCTTATAGCTAATGTTTTTGGAGTTATACAATTTAGCATTATTTGCAAAACTGCAAAAGCACGTTACCAGTAAATTATTAAATTGATAATTGTAAAAGTTGCTTTGGACATTGTCTAAATCATTCACAAGTTAAACAGTTCTGCAAACAAGTTTGTTACTGCCAGTAATCGACAGGCCTCCATCTAAAAGCATTTGTTTCTAATATTATAGAATGCTCGAAGCTTGACTGGTTTCCTGAATGGTGCTGGAAGATAGTAACTGTTGCTGCTACGCGGTGGCAAAATTACAGAGTGTGTTCTTCATGCAGGCACACAGAATAGCTTATGCAACTTGAGCTCTTACAAAAAGGCAGGCCGACTGGTATGTAAATATCTTATCTTGCGTCTCTGGAGGTTTGCAAGCCAAATAAGAAAAAGAGCCAGGTTGAGTGTATGGGACTGCTGCAGGTGGTAGACTTTTCCCTTACTTTCATACTTTGTTAAACATGGTCAGAGTCATTTTCTTTGTGGAATGTAGCTTTGCAGGTTTACTAAAGCTGAAAATCTGTCATGCTGTGACTCAAAAATTAACTGTTTTTATTATAAGGAAGTTCAGTCCAATATTCTGGTTTAGTGGATTCACTAAATTTACCGAGTGCACAAAAGTTTACAGTTGCATGCATTGATGGAAAAAACAACACGTAACAAAGAGGATAATTAGTGGTACTTTATACCGTACTGTTTATTTCTTGCTAAGCCTACTTGCAAGATCATCTTGTTCCAAGAGTAACAAAACCATATTTTGGTATGAGTTGATCAGTGGGAAGGAACATTATGATATGAATGAGACAAATTACATCCTTTCAGTTTGCGTAATAGTGTGGGTGACTATAACAAATTTAAAAAATCAAACATTGGGGGGAATTTGTAGCCCTTGGTTTCATAATTTATGACAGGGAAGTGAGATTTTATTCTGAGCAATTTGCAGCAATGTCTGCATATTTCTTCAAGTTTGCAAACAATATCAAAAGCTATCACTTTCTAGGTCCTAGCTATAAACTAATGCATAACCAAACAACATTATACTTAACAGACTCAATCACCTTTTTTATTACAACAGCAACATTCTAAAAAATCCTTTACAAATATTTTTGCATGCGGTTGTTGTTAAAACCCAAACTGAAATCCAGTATAGAAATAATAATTTCATAGCAAGTCCACCATGATCATTAACTCTTATTTTTCTTATTTGAAAGTGTTGAATGTGTAGCTCATGTAAAAATTATACAACAGAAGGGACTGAATGGGCAGCAGCTGTGGAGATAAGGGGTTAATCAGAAGACATGAATTGCACTAGTTTTATAAAGTCACATGAATCTTATTGCTTTGAAATGACACTTAAACACTCTATAAAAGTTCCAAGTAATGCCATTAAACATGATGTGTTGTAATAGATGCAGAAAGTGTTTTCCTCTGAATGAGAGTAGTAGCATTATCTCTGATCTATGGCAGAGGATTGTAATCCCTTAGGAAATACGGAAGAGAAAACAGTGGGCAGACAGGCACCTCATCAAAAAATATGGGTTTCAGATTAATCTATAATTAATTAAGAAGCACTGCAAGAAAAAAAAAGTATTAGTGATGCTTTTAGTTTTAACAAACTGCAGGAGATTGTTTTATATACCTTTTTAATTATAATTTTTTGTTTGAACATAATTCTTACGAGTGCTTTAGTCCATTATTACTAGCATACTAGCTTTAGCCATAAAGGCCATTTTCATAGAATAGCCCCTGGCAAAATTGTAATAGAGAAGCTGAAAAATACACTTGAAAACACATAATTACCAAATCACGTGAAATATAAATTTACATAATTAAAGAAGCACACGGAAGCATAAATAAAATGTTGCAAAATAAACATTAATTATTATCAGGCAAAACAGAATATTTGATTAGTTAGGAACCATTGTGTATAATAATGAATATATACATATTTCACAATGATTAAAGATTAATTCAGCTTCAGACCTGACAGGTTTTAAGTATGCACAGTTATGTGTTAGTTATTAGTCATATTTCTGACAGAAACGTTCAGACAATACTTAGCTTCTTGGTAACACAAGGACAATGAGTGAAATCTCTTATATAAACATTACTTTCTTTGCCACAAAGGCTTCTTTTTGCAGTTCAGTTGTTTCGGCAATAAAGTATAGTTTAGTGAGAACAGCCACACAGGAAATCTTTCCGGCATTTGTGCGAAGAAAAAAAAAACTAATTAAGAAAACACAATAGAAGTCATGAATCTTTGGTATAGGATTCCTTAGATTTAAAAGACAAAGTAGTTGTTATGAGCTACAAAACAAACTACAAGTTGACACACACTTAATGAATTTTTGCAGGTTTTGCTTTTCTAATCCTTTTGCACAAGAAAGGGGTACGGATGGGATTGCAGTACCACTTATCGTTGTATAAATTTGAATTGCTAATATGATTTTAAATCTGTTACTTTACTTTTTTGAATAGTGTTTTGATACGTTTCTTCTCCATTTCAGATTTTTGTCGATTTGATGAACCATTATGCAAGAATGAGAATGTTGTTCTCAGTTTCGAGGCTATACGCAGCATCCATAAGCAGATGGACGATGACGCAAACGGCAACGTAGACGTGGTAGAGACGGATGGCGTGAGTACCAACAAAAATAATTCATCAACATGAGCTGATGTTTTATTGAAGAGACATACAATCTCATTACTGTAATCCTCTGTGATGTGTCTTTAATATTTGCTGCTAAGTTGGTCAAACAGTTCTAGTCCTTGTTTTTGCCTTAGCATCTGAAGGATTTTTCCTGTTTGTACTTCAGTTCTCTTTTTGCTGATGTTTTGGATCAATGATTAACCAAATGCACAGTAGGACTGGTTGTATTTGCCATTTATGTTGCATTTTGTTTGCATGAAGTCTAGAGATGGCTTCTTTTCTTCACAAAACATTTAAATTTTTACAGAAGCACAGAATTACCACTCAATCAATTCACATATCTGTATTTCACTGCTGTTTCTCAGATGTCAGAGACGGTGTCCATGGTCTGTTTAATGTTCACTGTGAACTTCATTCTGAACTAGGATTGAGCAATATTGTCCAAAGATGAAATATCAGAGTTTTGTACTGAACAAAGCTACACAGTGCGTACGGTATATGTTTTTATTGTCTTCAAATATTTACTTAATAAAGTTCAAACAGTAACTAATAATTTTAATGTTTAAATAGGTAATTAAATCTGAAGGGGAACCACAGACGGCGTTTAAGGATTATTTATTTGAAGGTGGATGATTAAGTTTTAGTGTAGCTTAAAATTTTAAAGACACTGCAGGTTTTAATGCTCCTGTCCATTTTTTTTTTTAGCTCAGATCCTATTTTTTATTTAATTTTTTTTTTTTGGCATGGTCATACACATTAATGCGATCTTCATTAGACTCCAGTGTGAACCGTTTTCAGCTCTGAGGCGACCCGCATACCCAGAAGAAAATGTGATGACACACGCAGCATGCTACGTTTAAGGAAGTTTGGTTGCTGCGCATATTTGCATGTGTGATTCTGAAGTTGTTGTGCAATCAGAACTGATTAAATTGCCTGACCTGATTGTTTGGGCCAGCGCATAACCGGTACATTTGATCTTGCCTCTTGGTGACGACTCCTGTGCAGTATTTTAATTTGAGAATGGAAGTGACGAACTGAAGGCAAAAACAAACTGAAGTCTCGATCCCATCATGTTTGTATCGATCCAGTCAAACGCTAATTAGTATCTTATGTTGCTGTAGATCCTCAGTCATCCAGGACATGGGAAATTAAAAGAACAAAGTCAAAACAACTGGACTTCTGTTCTGTAGCTGAACACGTGCATAGTATCAATATTTAAACTGCACGAGGTTCGGACTGTCGGATGAAATGCTACTTTACTGTTTAGACTGCAGACACATTGAAAAACATTGAATATGGATCAGATTCAGTACCACATATGAAAAGGACCTGGTTCAGATTTGAAAAATCAGATGTGTCACGTTCAGACTGTCATAAAATAAAATCCAGTATGGGTGGGTTGCATACGGGCAAAAAAAAATAAAAATCAGATTTGGGCCACATTTGCCTGCAGTGTGAAAGTATCCTTAGTCACTCCTTTTGCTCAGCTGGTTTATATTTCACTAGAAACAGGAGCTGGAAAGGTTTTGCATTTTGATGATTGTAAATGCTATTAATAATGGAAATTGTGGTGTTTGTACTCTGTGACACTTGTTAGTGTGACACATAGAGGGGAAGTAAAAAGGGGAAATTCTGAAATGATGACATACATTGCTACAGGATGTCAAAGGAAAGGAGGAAATGCTCTACAGTAAAGTGCAGCTTTCATGGCAGAATTTACATTTGCCCTTACAGAAATATGTTGATGGAAATCTGTGCAGTTGTTTTCATGCTCCCATACTGTGATCGAATATTTCTCACTGGACGGGCTGTCTAACAGGATGAAGAGCTCCTGTCCTTGTGGCATGACCGTGTCTTGATGACTATAGTAAAATACAAATCATTTGACTCTTACAACATACGAGCACATCTGAGAGATTTGATGTGAAATTGCTAGACAAAATTCTATGTTGCCACCATTAAAACATTACAAGTACCTTTAGAAACGTTTGTTGTTGTTTAGCCTCTGTTTGTTTCGTTACATGTAATAAGGAGGAAGTTCTTTGCTGTTCCAGATTATTCAGCAGGAAAAAAATTGAATATTTAAAAGTTGCTATTGCTAAAAGTATTTATTACTTTTACAGTACATGAAGCACATGCACTCACCTGATCTGATTTGTTATTTTTTATTAGCTCTAAGCTATTATCAAATCCATTCCACCACTTATGAATGTTTTTCTTCCCACAGTTTATTTTTTGAGGAGTATCTTTGTAATTTATAACTTTGCAACTTGAATTGATAACTGAGAGATTTGAGACGAGTTACCTGCCAGTGTGGAATGTGATGTCTCTATTTTCAGTTGTTCATGCTTTGAGTGTAAAACCAGTCCATTTATGGCAAACTCTGCAGATTTCTGCCCAGATTCTCTCCCTGCTACACTTCATCTGTCCGTCTGATTTATACTCAGTGTGTATTTTATGTATTTTCATTTGGTATTGGCATTTTAAAAGAAATATTTTGCTTTTGGGATGAGTAAGGTATCATTTATTTACATTAATCAAATGCTTTTCAGATCTTTGTTTTTGTAATATAATCATTATTTTGCTAGTTTGACTTTTCATCAGGGGCAGCACGGTGGCGCAACTGGTAGAGCTGCTGCCTCTCAGCGAGCAGGTCCCTGGTTCAAACCCCGGTCCAGGGGCCTTTCTGGGTGGAGTTTGCATGTTCTCTCCGTGCATGCGTGGGTTTTCTCCGGGTACTCCGGTTTCCTCCCACAGTCCAAAAACATGCATGTTAGGCTAATTGGTAACTCTAAATTGTCCCTAGGTGTGAGTGAGAGAGTGAATGGTTGTTTGTCTCGTTTGTCTCTATGTGGCCCTGTGATGGACTTGCGACCCATCCAGGGTGTACCCCGCCCCTCGCACAGTGATTGTTGGACATGGGCACCAGCGACCCCCGTGACCCAAAATGGAATAAGCGGGTAAAGAAAATGGATGGATGGATGGACTTTTCATCAGAAAAACAAAGGGCAAACCACTTTTGAGTTCTGCAATATTGAGATTAAGCCAACTAAAATTCAGTATGCTGCAAAATGTTCTTTGAAAGTAAATAATACACAGTTCTAAATAGACAAATTGCACAATTTGATCATTATCTGTATATTTCACGCAAAAGTTTATATTTTGAATTGCTTCAAATGTCCTTGTTCCTCTGCAGTTCCTCAGAGAGGACCTTAACTACCATGACCCCAAGGCCAAGCACAACAGCTTCCATGGTGATGACCAGTTCATCAGTGTGGAGGACTTGTGGAATGCCTGGAAGAGTTCTGAAGGTACTGCACAAATGGGCTTCTCTCGATTTTTGTTCTGTTAAAATGTTTTTACTTTATGTAATTTGTTCTATAACTTAAAGTCTGATACACATGTTTTATTGCAACATTTCCAATGTTTGCTAGACCATTAAATGAAACACAGCTGCTCTCACCCCATGCTCCTGTCCCCACCAACACACACACTCCTCACTCTTCTGACAAAGTAGAGGGAGGCAGTTGATTAGATTCCATGCTGGGCAAAAAGCAGTCTCCTTATCAGTTCCAGATAGTGGCAGAGTGGCCATCTTTGAATCTGTCAGCACAAAATTCACATCCACACTCTCCTTCTGTACATTTGTGTGGCTGGTCTATCTTGTTCAAGTAAGAGCACTCTTTTCATGAGTGTTGTCTAGCACTTGCACACACCCTTTCCTCAGGATGCTTTGACTTCTCTTTTTTTGCATGTACTATTGACAAAGGTCTCAAGGTTTGGAACTAGCAAGCAAAAGCTTCTGTTTAGGAGAGCAACATACAAACCTGATTCCTAAAAAGTTGGGACACTAAACAAATTGTGAATAAAAACTGAATGCAATGATGTGGAGATGGCAAATGTCAATATTTTATTTGTAATATAACATAGATGACAGATCAAAAGTTTAATCTGATTAAATGTAACATTTTAAAGGAAAAATGTGTTGATTCAAAATTTCACAGTGTCGTCAAATCCCAAAAAAAGTTTGGACAAGTAACAATAAGTGGCTGGCAAAAGGAAATTGAGCATATAATGAACAGCTGGAAGACCAATTAACACTAATTAGGTCAACAACATGATTGGGTATAAAAAGAGCTTCTCAGAGTGTCAGTGTCTCTCAGAAGCCAAGATGGTAAGAGGATCACCATTTCCACCATTGTTGCGCAGAAAGGTAGTGCAGCAATACCAGAATGGTGTTACCCAGCATAAAATAGCAAATACTTTTAAGTTATCATTATTAACTGTGCATAACATCATCAAAAGGTTCCGAGAATCTGGAACAATCGCTGTGCGTAAGGGTCAAGGCCGTAAAACTCTACTGGATGCTCATGATCTCCGGGCCCTTAAACGTCACTGCACCTCAAACAGGAATGCCACTGTCAAGGAAATAACAGAATGGGCTCAGGAATACTTCCAGAAAGCATCGTCAGTGAACACAATCCACCGTGCCATCCGCCGTTGCCAGTTGAAACTCTACAGTAAAGAGGAAGCCATTTCTAAGCAAGCTCCACAAGCTCAGATGTTTGCACTGGGCCAGGGGTCATTTAAAATGGAGTGTGGCAAAATGGAAGACTGTTCTGTGGTCAGATGAGTCACGATTTCAAGTTCTTTATGGAACACTGGGACGCCATGTCATCCGGACCAGAGAGGACAAGGATAGCCCAAGTATTTATAAACGCTCCGTTCAGAAGCCTGCATCACTGATGGTATGGGGTTGCATGAGCACTTGTGGCATGGGCAGCTTGCATGTCTGGAAAGGCACCATTAATGCAGAGAACTATGTTCAGGTTCTAGAACAGCATATACTCCCATCTAGACGTCATCTCTTTCAGGGAAGACCCTGCATTTTTCAACACGATAATGCCAGACCACATTCTGCAGCAATCACAACATCATGGCTACGTAGGAGAAGGATCCGGGTACTGAAATGGCCAGCCTGCAGTCCAGATCTTCCACCTATAGAGAACATTTGGTGCATCATAAAGAGGAAGGTGCGACAAAGAAGGCCCAAGACGATTGAACAGTTAGAGGCCTGTATTAGACATGAATGGGAGAGCATTCCTATTTCTAAACTTGAGAAACTGGTCTCCTCTGTCCCCAGACGTCTGTTGAGTGTTGTAAGAAGAAGGGAGGATGCCACACAGTGGTAAAAATGGACTTGTCCCAACTTTTTTGGGATTTGTTGATGCCATGAAATTTGGAAACAACAGATTTTTCCCTTAAAATGATACATTCTCTCAGTTTAAACTTTTGATCTGTGATTTGTGTTCGATTCTGAATAAAATATTAGATGTTGGCACCTCCACATCATTGCATTCAGTTTTTATTCACAATTTGTTTAGTGTCCCAACTTTTTTGGAATCCGGTTTGTAGTATGGTTGACACCACACATTTTAGATTTTTTTTGCCTGGAGGTGTGAGGCAGATCTGTCTTAATTATCACACTGGGCAGGTCGTTGCATGTCCTACATGTTAGCTCATAGAGGATTTTTGGAAAAGGTGCACACCACCCTTATGTTTTGTGTCTAGCTGCATGTCAAAATTTCATTTGTACATTAAGTTTTAAATCATAAATGTTACTGATAATTCTATAAATGCTCAGCTTAAATTTAATATGTTAACATGGTGAACTGTATAAATGACCATTTACCTGAAATCAGCAACTCGAAAGTTGGAAGACAACTAGTGTCTTTTCTGAAGTTGTTTGGCAGGTCTTTGTTAAAGCCATCCGCATGCTGGGGGAGTTTTTGAGTTTTGTTGTCTTCAGTCTGTTCATAAACAATGGTTACGGTGATATCAGTTGGAGTGCTTTGCAATAAAGTTAATATTTACTCATGCTAAATCTTTGAGGACCAAACGCTGTTACAAAATTAAGTCTGTACTTAAGCTACAGAAGAAGGTATGGGTGGTAAATGTAGCAATGACAAGTGACTGTAACATCAGGAAGTAAGAGCACAAGAAGCATAAAAAATACCAATAGATGGAAAAGGAAATTGAGGATGAAAAGTCAAGGCCTCAGTTGTGCCAGTGGTCATCGAAGTACTCAGACTGAAAATGTGGCTCCACCAGATCCCAGGAATAACCTTAGAGATCTCCATCCAAAACAGTGTAGTCCTAGGAACAGCTAAAGGTCTTATTAATTCAGTTCAGTGTATTTATATGGCACCAAGTCACAACAGAAGTCGTGTCAGAGCACTGAACAAATAGCGGTTCATCAGAACCAGGCTCAGGACGAGCAGCCATCTGCTTCAACCGTCTGGGTTTGAGAGGACGGGAAGGAGAAACAAACACAGAATTTCAGGTCTAGGTGTACTTTCTACTGGAAGAAAGACTTTAAAAAAACCACGTTAAGATAGAAATAAGTACAAATATAAACGGGTATAGTACACTGTCTTCTAACAGTCTAAGCCTATAGCAGCATAACTAAGGGATAGCTTAGGAAACCCAAGCCGACCCTAACTATAGGATTTATCAAAAAGGAAAAACTTGAGCCGTTTTATAAGTAGACAAATGTGCCAGCTTTATGGAGAGAAACTGGACGTTAATTGTGACTGTATTCTTATCTCTCCTCAGTTTATAACTGGACGGTGGACGAGGTGGTGGAATGGCTCATCACGTACGTGGAGCTGCCACAATATGTGGACGCATTTCGCAAAATGAACTTCAATGGCAGTGCTATGCCAAGGTAGGAAACTTCATGTTTTATTTTAAGTACTAAATCTGTAAAAAGAATGTAGCAAATAAAACTTTAATTTTTTTCAAAACCAGTACTTAAAAAAAAAAAAATTAATGGACATTTTTGATTTTGTTCATTTCCACATCCCCATTATTTAATTAAATATGTCATATTTTTCTACTCATAGGATTTTTTTCCATTGTGATAGTTTTGGTTGTTAGAGTTTCTGTGGGACGTTAAATAGTATTAAGTCATTAAATGGATTTAGCAAAATTTAATGCCTTAAATGGCGTTAAAAAGCATAAAATTTTAATCTCAGTGGTATTAAATATTTTTCATTTGCTTTCAAGAAAAACAAAATGAGCAGTTCTGGAAACTGCTTATGCAAACTCGCTCATCAGGGTGATCTATTACTTTTCCATTAAAGTAGCATGCTGAACCATTATTAATTGTTACTGGATGGTCAGTTTTCACCTATTTGCAGGTTCGTTGAAAAACGGGTAAACTTCAGGGGCAGAAACAAAATGAGTAAATGCAAACTCAAGCTACAGTGGCTGAAAAACAAGAATTTAGAACTACAGCCCGACAACCATCAGGATGGTGAAGGTTTTTGCAGCAAAAAAAAAATTAGTTGAAACAGTCGACATGTGGAAAGGTCAGCCATTGTTGTAAAAAAAAAAGTTTAGCAATCGTGGGAGCTGCCCGTTTAAATGTCTCTCAGTTTGATTAGCAGTTTTTTTTTCTGCTTTAGTTCTTGAATTTAACAATAGTAACACTAAAAGACAAATATATGTTTGCCCAAGATTATAGTAAAGATGTGTCTCTGTTTAAAGTTTTATTTCTTTTCCAAAAACTTACATTGTTCTCTCCATGAGTCAGTTTCAAGTGTTCATAGTTTATCATAAATATTTGTAACCTTGAATTTTACACAAGATTTTAGCAAAATATAGTGTTAAGCTGCTGATGCATGGTCTGTGCCACCACCCGGCCGGAGCATGAAATAACAGCTTTATTACAGAGAGAATGATGATGACGACTCTGAAACGTTTTGAGTTTAAAACATTAGTTAACCACAACAAGAATGGATCAACTGTGGAGCCCCGTGAGGGCCATGTCAGAAAAAACAAACCAAAAACCTTATTACAAACTTCTCCAACTCATTTGTTTTACTTCTGTCTCTGAAGTGGGGGAGCAAAGAAAAGAGCAAAGAGTCACGAAGGGCTACTGATTCAATGGTTCACAAAAATGTATGTAATTTAAATTGTGGATTTTTGCACTTTAGTTCTTTTGTCTGCAATAACCACTCGGGTTCAGAGCTGAAGTAGGGCTTGGTAGAAGACCTGTTGAACACGTGGGGCAGTAATCAACGCAAGTTTGATCATGTTTTATCTTCCAACTTCCATTTGATGAACGTTATCTAAGATAAAGCACATATTTGTTGTCTGCCCGCCTCGCATGGATCAATCCCAAAAACGACTATTCTTTTTTTTCTTCTTACTTTTTCAACGACACACTATCTAATGTGTCTCTCCAAGATTCTTTAGCATTGGAAGAAACCACAGTTGACAAAAATTTAGAGAAAAACCTCCCTCCCCCACCTCCCCAAAAAACGACAAGAAAGAACAAGAAAAAAAATTGTGGCACTGTGCACAGATAATTCTGGTTACAGGTATCCTATTAGCATTAGCGTATCGACAGTAGGTATTTGTTTGTGCATTAACCTTTGTTTAAACAGGGAAATCCCATTGAGATCACAGATCTCTTGCAAGGGATGCCTTGGCCTGAAGGCAGACGAATGGTGACACTAGCATCAGTAAAAATATGTACACACGTACATGATGATGCTCCACACCTCTTTTGGATCTGCAATGTTCATTTAAATAAGTTTGAATTGAAAAGAAAAGCTTGTGATCTAAGGTACATGACTTAATCTCCTGTAAAATAAAGTTGTGTATGTATTTATTGCCAATGGCATCAAGGGAATTATAATGGCACAAAAAAAATATCTTGTGATGCTTATGCTTCACTGTCGATGGCATTAAAAATGGGATTAAATTGGCATTAAAAAGCAATAAATTTGATTTGTCAGATTTCTACAGAAACCCTGTATTAAGGAACACCATTTTAGTTTGGTTTCTTTTATTTAGAACACCATTGTTGTAGATCGGAACTAATACGGCTTTAAGAATGAGTAGATGATTTGTGACGGGATCACTTTAAACATCTGAAAATGTATTATACCTTTTCTCCGTCTTCGTACTTCCTGGGAAACGAACATGTGTCTGCTCTCTCTCAGGCTTGCTGTAAAGAACACAACTCTGACACTCTCTATTCTGAAGATTCTGGATCGCAGCCACGTGCAGAAGTTGCAGCTTAAAGCTTTGGACACTGTACTCTTTGGAGCACCCCTGAGTATGTATTCCCTTATTTCGATTTCTGTTTCAGCTGTCAGGTTTACTCCAAGTTTGGCAATTTTTCCTCAACGTTTTTAAAAACTACTTCCAAGAAAATGCTAAATGGGTCGTGAAGAACCCTCCCAATATACTAATGTTTCAGCAGGCTTGGTTGCTCAGTCCTTGTTTAGTATTTTTACTGTTGAAACAGTTATTTCACACTAAAACTTTTGATTTTAGAAACTTCTTTAACTTATTTATTTTATGAATTGATTTTCTTTTCTGTTTTACAATAACTAACTGATTAATTGGATCAGCTGCAGTTTATTTCCACCTTTAAGATGAATTTAATTTATGGAATAATCTACAAAGTTGTGACTACTTGTATGCTATTTAGAAATAAAGAAACCTCGTGTTGCTTTTACACATTTATGTTCACCGTGTTTGCTACTTCATCATTTAGCAGATCTATTGTTAGATATTCATATTATTCAGTTTTAGCGTAGCAGGCACAAAACCATAATGGCAGTAATTTAAAATAAAAATAAAAAAAATCCTTGTAGATGCAGGAAAAAAAACCATCAAGTTCTTATTTTTATTTAATGGCATAATTAAATTTAGATACTGGTTTTGATATTTTAAACATGAAGGAATATTATACTTTATAAAAGTAGTTGAAACTGCCTTTAATGAGAACCCAAATGAACAGCTGAATAAAGTGTATAGATTGTCGTGTTAAGAATGATCCCACGCATCTAACATTTTAGTGGGAGAGCAGCTCTTTGTTCTTAAAGTGAAGAATAACTAAAAAGTGACTAATAGCAATGTTTGTTTTTCTCCCAAACTGAGATTATTATTATTATTTTGCATTAGAAATCTACCAGAATTACCATTATGTTGTTTTTTTTTAATGTCCTGTTGCATGCTCACTGATCCAGGTAGATAAATCTAACGGGTCCTCTGGACGGATTCTTCTTTGTTAAAATGTTTTGTCTTCTTCAGTCCAGACTGAAGTCTGACTGTCGGTCCGCTCTGACTTATCCAAACTGAAGAAGTTTGTTCTGACGAACCATTTTAATAAAGTAAAAGTTTTAATTTGTCATCTTTTCTTTTTGTTTTTGTCTGAGATGTGTTGTGTTTCTTTGCTGTGTCACATTTAAACCCTGACTTACTCTTTATTCACCTGACACATCCCACATTTGTTATGTGAAACCCTTTGTGATGGGGCGTGAAACAGTAAACCAGCTTTGGATCACGCTGCGCTGTATTCCACACACATCCCTTTGTGTACATAGACAAATAAACACACCACTTGTCCCATTCCTCCCCTTTCCAGCCGCTCTACTTTTGTATTGACACAATTACTTACTGTCACAACAGGCAAGGTGTGTCTCACCTATTATACCTGAGACTTATTGGAAAAAAAACAATGCTTACCTGAGTACAACTTAACTGAGTAAAGAGAAAATGAACATGTGTTTGTTTGGAATGATGTGAAAGTTAATCTAATCACCACTGAAGCCAAAAAAGATTCAGTGATCCTTCAAAGAAAGCAAACATTTGCATCGGACAGATATTTCTCAGCAGCATAAAGTTCGATGGCCTGTCTCTGACATGTTTAGCTGTGGTTGTTTTGTTACACACACACAGAAATGAGCAAGGATGGTCTGGCTTTGACAACCTCTGCAAGGAGCAAGGAGCTCCCACTGATGGTCCCTTTAATAGAGTGACGGTGCAGCAGTGGTTTCAGACAGGCCTCACAATGGGCTGAATCTTAAACAGTTGTGTAAATGAACCTTAACAGATCAGTCTGGTTATTTTTAGTTTTGATGCTCATTAAATTTAAACTAGTGCTCTATTGAATCTTTTTTTTTTTTTTTTTTTACAAAGATTGACCATAGAACACATTTTATTGCAAACAACTCAAATTAGGAAATAAGTTATTAAAACTTACTTGTCCTCCTAATCTTATAACTTGATCTTTGTTGTGTTCCAGGAAGTAGAAATCCTAATTCTCATATCTCTTTCCAGCAAAAGCCAGTTCAGATTTGGCAGGAAGTAGCTTGCTTTGTCTTGTAACTTGCAAGGCCTGAAGACAGACTGCGATTCAAACACGATGCTCTTTGACTTGTCCTGAGCTTTGTGTGCTCGAAATGTGATCTGAATCTCATACAAATCTGTTCCTAATGGATGTGGCTAATGTCCATCTAGTGTTACCTTTTATAATGATTCATCTTTATGATACATCCACATTACCAAATGGTTTTATTTTTAAAACAAATAGTTTAACTCGTAGCGTCTCAATGAACAAAATAATAGATGCATATGGTTTTATTGTTCTTTCAAAGTAAAGCGTTGGTTCTTAGACTGAAGTAGTCTCACACCACAACCTGAGCTCGTTCTGTTAATTCCATTTGTGTCTAACCACGACTCCTACCATCATGATGAGGCTTTGTCCAAGCTTCACACCACATCCTTGTGTTGACAGGATTATTTGTATGCATTATATTTTATGTTTAATTTATTTTAATTTAACAAGTGAAATGTTTGAGAACCGGTTCTCATGTACACACATGACCTGAGATGTATGCTTGTTGCTTTAATTGTTTATTAATCTAATCTGGAAGGGTTTATAATCTGACTAAATTGTGACTTTTTCTTTTTGTTTGTTTTTTAGTGAATAGACATAACCATTTGAAGGACTTCATGCTGGTAGTATCCATAGTCATAGGGATGGGTGGCTGCTGGTTTGCCTACATCCAGAATCGCTATTCGAAGGACCACATGAAGAAGATGATGAAAGACCTGGAAGGCCTGCAGAGAGCTGAGCAGAGTTTGCATGATCTACAACAGAAGTGAGGCTTTTTCCCACTATTCACACCACTAATAAATTATACAAGTACTGTTCTCTACTTGGTTTGATCTTATATTTTGTTAAATCTGACAGTTTAATGCGTCTGCTATTTAAGAGGGTAAGTAGCAGCAAAAAGCGTCCTAATCAAGTGCACTTTAATTGATTATCAGGGAGTGTGCACATCTCCTTAAATGCAGAAAGTGTAGCATTTTGCTAAAGTATGAAACATTCAAGATTTTGCTAACCAAATACAAATTTAAAATAACTCTGCAAATATCTTTTAAAAACTGTTGTAGCTTCCCATCAAGTTAAATATTATAGGCTATTTCTAAACAGTTTAGATTACATCATTCTTTAATTAGGGCAATTATTCACACATGGAAAAATATTCAGAATTGTTGTCAGTCTTCTTAAGAGTCACGGTTCACCTTGAGGTCAGAGTGTGCAGTGCTTGGAAAAACTGCACAAAAAAATAAAATAAACTACATTTTAGAGACATGATCAACTCCCGAATTCAGAGCAAACTTCTTCAGAAAAGTATGAAATAATAAGGATTCAGACGTTTACTCCAGATGAGTTTCACAAACTGCTCTGAGAAGTGCTTGAGCAAAGTGTTAGCTGTCAGAAAGTTGGAACGGTTTCTAAATGCTCCTTTATGTTTTAGTCACTGGGTCTTCCAGTGCCAGAGCAGCCACCGTTACATACAATCAGTTATTTATAGCACCCATAAACAATTTAGAGTATCCAAAAAAGTTCAATCTGGTCCTCTGGACATTCAAAAAAAAAAAAGTAGAAACGTTTCGTCTCTCATCCAAGAGACTTCCTCAGTCTGAGGTGCTGTTTTCAGCTCAGTCTCTTAAATAGCACCTTCTCAGAGTGGATCAACCAGTTTGCTGCTGACAACCAAAACCAGCTGATCACATGCTCAAGATGGACCATCAGCCTAACAATGGATCATTAGCACACTGATGGCTGTTTACTGTTCACAGAGGGCTGAGTGATACTAGCAATAACAGCATTGTAAGAGGGGGACAGTTGAACCTGGAGGCCTCCACCCCTGTTTAACGATGGACGATTTCTTTTCACAAAGATGGCCTCCTTTACTCCTCTCTCAAACCATCGTACCCCTCTATCCAGGATGTGAACATCTTCATCCCTGAACGAGTGACCGCTGGCCTGGAGATGAGTGTAGACCGCAGAGTCCTGGCCTGATGATGTTGATCTTCTGTGCTGGGCCATCCTTTTGGCCAGTGGCTGTTTAGTTTCCCCGATGTAAGACTGATCACAGTCCTCCTGTGGGCCAGATTGAACTTTTTTGGATTTTTCTACCTGGATTATTGAGCATGAATCAGGAAATTAGAGTATCTTTTAAGAAAGGATAATGATTTTGAAAGGAAAATAAATATTAAAAACATAATCGTTGTTTATTAAGTACATTTGCTTTTTTAATCAAATGCTTTTGACCTGAGACTGAGTGGTAGGAAAACTTGTGGAGTGGACAAAACAAAGAGTTGAGAGCCTTTGGAAACGTTAACGTTTTGTTCTATTAACAATTCCTGGGCCAGTGGCAGGAGCAGTGATGAGCTTTGTAACTTGACTAAATGACGTTCTCGGGTTGATTCGTAGAATTTTGAACAGAGTGATGTCATTTTGATTTGACAGGCCCTATTACCCATGTAGGTTGGTCTGTTTGAGCTCAATGTTTAGAAAAGGGTCTTGAAATAAATCAAGATATGTTTTGAAGTAGGTGAAATGTCAGCTGTACTGCAACTGGTGTTTTTTTTTCTCCGTAGTTTCTTTAATTTATTGAACATGAGATGTATCGGCCTGTTGAATGCTGACTGAAAGAGCTGCTGAGTGATGCAGTGAGATCACATAAATGGGGTCAAACTGTCCCTCTGATTGTCTGACATGTCACTTTGAATTATGCCTTTTTGGCTAGATTCTTTGTTCAGCTGAACATTTCTGCCTCTGCTGGTTTAGAAGTGGCCTTTGATAACATGCTAGGCTAATTGCTCTTAATTCTCTTCTGCTACCCACTCCTGAAATTTCTTTCTAAAATGTCCCATACATGCAAACACTTTTTATGCTTTGCAGACACTCAACATTGTCATAACTGCTTGCCTTTTTTAAATAAATTTTGTGGACAGTGTTGGTCTAAAGTACCTTAACAAGTAGGGCTGAATAATTAATTGCATTTGCAATAATATCGCGATATGATAAAACAAGATTTTCTAATTGCAAAGGCTGCAATTTGACTGGTCATGTGATCTGGTTACGTGATTTGCAAATTAGCAGAGCAAAGTAGAGCAGGGAGCGGGAGACGTCAATACTGGGCTTGAACTGGTTGCACAATGATGTCAGGCCTGACAGAAGCATCTGAAAGTTTGGTACCAAAGAGCACGTCCGTTGTTTGGAATAATTTTGGCTATAAAAAAAGAAGACGCTGCTCAACGACGTATTATGCAGAACCTGCCTTGCTACTGTTGCTACCTCTCGAGGTAACACCTGGATCTTTATCAACACTTAAACAAAACACCACAAAAGCCATTTACGATAGTTGCGTGGCAAGAATGCCAAGGACCAGTGCTTCGACTTCAAGTAAGCAAAGTACCAGCCGACAGGGATCACTGACCGAACTGTTCAAAGGTGTTACTTCGTATTAACATGATTCGAAACGGCACATGGAAATAACTGGAGCGATAACAGAGTTCATAGCAAAAGACATGATGCCCATTAATATAGTGACCAAGCCTGGGTTCACAGCTTTGGTAAACACAATGGATAAACGTTACAGAATGCCCTCATGCACACGTTTTAGCCAAGTTGCTATCCCGGAGCTATGCAAAAAAATGCAGAAACAGAGTTGCAGCAGAGCTGAAAACAGTTTATTGCAACTGAGACAGATTTATTGCTTGTGTTCGTTGAAAAATACACGAGAAGACGACGTCGGAAAATAATTGCATATTAAAATCGCAATAATGATGCAAAAAATTTCAATTATAATATTTTCAAAAATTGTTCAGCCCTACTAACAAGTCAAAAAACATTCTGCTCATATCACTGAAGTCTGTTGGTTCAGCATTGCATTACACTATGTGCAGTCATATTGTGCAACTTTATTTATATCTCGTTTGTTTTTCCTACAAGCTTAGAGATTCTAGCAGAGAGAAACGAGGTATGTCCTCTGTGTCTGACTGAGCTTTTCTTCCTGATCCCCACTGCCAGCTGCTCTCTTTCCATAACTTTAAGCAGATCCTGTGGTGGTATCAAGTAGCCTAGCTCCAACATGGCGTCTCTGTTGAGAGACAGCAAGAGGAAGCTTTTAAAAAACAGGATTTCCTGTGTGCCCAAGACTGTGCCTCACTAGTGGGAGATGGTGATAAATGTATCAGCTTAACGTGTCAGGTTCAGTTCTAATTCACCCACGAGGATATGGCTGTGTGGTGCAGACGGACGAGTGTGACAGACCTTCAAATGTTAGTTGTCATGTGGGGCTTGTGAAGATTAAGTCAAATGTAATGATGTTGCCAGTGACTTAAGCTAAAGCTACTATTTCTTGGTAGAGTTAAAAAAAAGTAGTTTCCCTGTTCGCGCCACAGTTCAGGATTATTGGTATATTTCAACATCTTCTCTTTGGGAACTGCACATCTGCCAGTGTTCTCAAACTTTAACTGTGGTTAAGGTCAGGGTTGAAAGTGTGAGCAGGACTGCCAACTAGCTGCGTTTTCCACAACTAGTGTTCTGGATCAGATTTCATTTGCATTTTTCTTACTACTTTTGTAACGGCTTCTGTTTTAAATGTGCTTTATAAATAAAGTTGACTTGACTTACTGCTGCTTTTTTGTTCTGTAGTGGAGAGTGCTGCCCCTTATTGACTAAAATGTAGCATTGCCATATGTACTTAAATGTAAAACTCTTAACTGAACTACAACAAAAGTAAATTCTGAAGCCCGGACAACAACATTGAATATATACTTAATTTTGTTTATAGTCTTTGTTATTTTAAACAATGTGAGTTGAAGTACATAAAATGAATCCATTGGTGGCATGCCCCTCCTTTATTAAGGTGAGAAGAACGCCACTTAGAAAGCAGCACATGTGTTTTAGACACAGGAATCACACTGTGCCGTTCTAAAGTTACTCACCGTCAGCTGTTGCCATTCTTGGCTCTGCTGCCTCCGATGTCGGCTTATTGTGAGCTGCCTAGCAGCTGACCATGGCCTTTTGCTTTATATGTTAACCATTGTTTCCGGTGATGGCACGGTTCATGCAGAGCATATATTTCACACATAGGTGGCACACACAGGCTTACATGTAATGTTTGCCAAGTTAAAAATTACACTAGGTTTCTTGTCTTGGCCTTAGAAAGGACCCTTTGAATGCTCAAGAAGTGAAATCTAACAATTTGTTCCCGACCCTGTTTCCAGGCTGCAGATTGCCCAGGAGGAACATCGCTCCGTCGAGGTGGAGAAGGTGAACCTGGAACAGAAACTGAGGGATGAAATAAACACAGCCAAGCAAGAGGCCCAACGACTGAGAGAGCTGCGTGAAGGGACCGAGAATGAACTGAGTCGCCAAAAGTATGCAGAAGAGGAGCTAGAACAGGTAAAGTCTAATCATTAATATTTAGATATGTTTATTATGTTTGGGTGATTTTATTCAGAAACGGATAGAATATTTAAAACCTTAGTTTATTGCTGCTGCACTATGTGGCTGTATCATTTATGTCACTACGTTACCATCATAATTTAATTTGTCTCAATGTTACCACCTCATGTACCATGTGATGTGAATGACACTAAAGGAGCTTGAACCTACCTGTGCAATAACCTGTCACACAACCTGTGCAGCTTAAGTTAGTTATGTGCAATACAATATATATCATGTGCATTTAAGCTTATAAAAATGTATTTATACAAACTCATCCTACTTGCTCCGTTATATTCTACCATGTTGTGGTTTACTGTATTTCTATTGGACCTTGCAAACATTTTCTTTCTTTTTTCCACTATTTGGTACTTTATTTTGTACCTTTTATTGCACACTTTAGTATTTTCTTGTTTGCTTGTTTTTAGCGAGTCAAATTGGTTCTTCTCATCCTGAACCTTTCATTGCACTGTCAACCTTGTGTTAACCTGCATATGACAAATAAACAACATAACTTCTTATATATATATATATATATATATATATATATATATATATATATATATCTTCAATAAATAATAAAAAAAAAGGTTTTTAGAGCAAAGATTTTTATGTTTATAATTTTGCACGTCATATTACCATAGGAATATCCTGATGCATGCTCAATAATCCAGGTAGAAAAATCTAAAAAAGTTCAATCTGGTCCTCTGGACATTCAAAAAAAACCCAAAACAACAAAAAATGTAGAAACGTTTCGTCTCTCGTCCGAGAGACTTCTTCAGTCTGAGGTGCTGTATTCAGCTCAGTCTCTTAAATAGCACCTTCTCAGAGTGGATCAACCAGTTTTGCTGCTGACAACCAAAACCAGCTGATCACATGCTCAAGAAGGACCATGCTGGTATCACTCAGCCCTCTGTGAACAGTAAACAGCCATCAGTGTGCTAATGATCCATTGTTAGGCTGATGGTCCTTCTTGAGCATGTGATCAGCTGGTTTTGGTTGTCAGCAGCAAAACTGGTTGATCCACTCTGAGAAGGTGCTATTTAAGAGACTGAGCTGAATACAGCACCTCAGACTGAAGAAGTCTTTCGGACGAGAGACGAAACGTTTCTACATTTTTTGTTGTTTTGCTTTGTTTTGGGGTTTTTTGAATGTCCAGAGGACCAGATTGAACTATTTTAGATTACCATAGGAAGTTTATAAAATAAGAAAAAAAAAGAAAATGTTATTTTTGTTGCATGCTGATGATTGTTCTGAATTAGTTTTAATCTCTCGCCTTTTTTATTCTTTGAAATGTGCTGCAGGTGCGCATGGCACTGAAGAAAGCAGAGAAGGAGCTGGAGTCTCGGAGCAGCTGGGCTCCTCCAGAGTCTCTCCAAAAGTGGCTGCAGCTCACCCATGAGGTGGAGGTGCAGTACTACAACATCAAGAAGCAGAATGCTGAACGCCAGCTGCTGGTGGCTAAAGAAGGGGTGAGCCCGGCAGAACTACCGTACACGGGAAATGCTGTTTAATTGAAGAGACGGTTTTATTTATCTGAAGAGGACACTGCTTGATTTTCATCCACAGAAACAAGTTTTGGTTTGACATTTCTCAAGTATTTAAACCAAAGAATACGATGTTTATTTCTTATTTCTTGAACAATTTGTTGCCAATCTGGATATGCTTTAAAAATCATATAAATATAAAGAGAATATAAGCATGACGGTACAAAATGGTACAGATTTAATAAACTGTTTGTAATCTGTAACCTGATTCTTTTATAGAAACTTGATGTTTGCCTTCATGTTTTTTCGTTGATGTGTGAGTCACTTAGATATTTGTAACTCCTCAACCAGATTGTTTTTATAAATAAATTGCCTTTTTTTTTTTTTTCTTAAATCAAGTTCTGGAAAGTTCAGTTTTTTTTCCGTGGAAATGTTTATTAGTTTTTTAAATCTTAGCTGTTGCGTTTCATCTGCACAATGCACATTTACCAGAGAAATGAAAGTTTGGTTGTGTGTTTTGCCAGGCAGAGAAGATCAAAAAGAAGAGGAACACTCTCTTTGGGACTTTCCACGTGGCTCACAGCTCCTCCCTGGATGATGTGGATCACAAAATATTGGCTGCAAAGTAAGTCAGGCTCAATGACGCAGCAATGTAAACAACGTTCAGTATGTGTCAGACACGTTAATCTGCACTTGTGTTTTCTAGACAAGCCCTCGGTGAAGTGACAGCTGCTCTGAGGGAGAGGCTGCATCGCTGGCAGCAGATAGAGATGCTCACAGGTTTTACCATCGTCACCAACCCGGGCCTCCCCTCTCTGGCCTCATCGCTCAACGTTGATTCCAGCTTCATGGGTGGCAGAGCCACACCGCAGCACTTCATCATGTCTGATGATGTGGACGACTTGGACGAAGGCCTCGTGTCTGGAATTTTTCAATGTAAGGGTTCGTCGAATGATTTAGTGGGGACTAACAAACGAATCTCCAAACAAGCAAAGACCGTCCTGGGGAAATCAAAAAATCAGCCCACATGAGAGTTGGGACTTTTTATTCTGCGTTCACTTGAATATGTTTTGTCATTCCTTGTGATACAGATTGTGTGGGTTAAAGAATGTCCTTTCATTAAATTATTTTGGATTATATTTAGTGAATGTTGACAGGAGCGGTATGAATGTAAAATGTTATATTAAATTTTATGTGTTTTGTTTAAAAAAAAATTAAGAGGTTTCCCTTGAAACTTCACTAAATGCCTTTTTTTTAAATTGTTTTATTTTGGATACGTGTTTACTCAAATGTCAGTCAATTATTGGGACAAAAAAACTTGTGACTTTTGGAAAACAATCCTTCTATAAAAAATACAGTTTATAAAGAGACCAAGCTTTTTCTGTAGATGTGATTGTGTCCTAATATTTTCTGCACAGATGTTGAATCAGGTTTTGACACAGTTCCTCGTTCTAAATAGATTAAATATAAACACCAGCACAAAAATGTGTCTGATCCTCAAATTCACATGACATTTTTCTCATTGCTGAGTTAATGGGTGAATGTTCTGCACATTCATCTCAAGGAGATCATACTTTATTCCCAGCTTGAATAGTGAGTGAGCCTTTGAATCGCCATTAATTACTCCCCGTTTCAATCCCTTCTCTTCCTCTGCCACCTTCGTGTCGCTCGGCTCCAACACTGTCTTACTGGCTTGACTTCAGATGGCGCCCTGCAGCTGGAGCGGCGAGCCAGTGACCTGTTGTCCATTGCTTCAGACTGTCAGCCCATGTGGAAATGCTCTGGTTGGAGATTTATTCATGCCCCAGTTCAGTCCCCAGTCTCTCCCTTTCGTTAAAACCTAGCAGAACTGAGATTCTCTAGACCTATGTTGCTCATGAACACTGCTGGAGAAAAGGACATTACTCCATACTGGTTATCTAGAAACTTGCCTGATCTTGCCTCAGAGGAAAATACATACAAGTGAATGTTAGAACCATGATATAATACTTAAATATTTTATGTTAATAATGAAATGGTATTTTAAAACCAGATAAAAACATTCCAGCAGTGAATACATTTTTAACAGCCTCCCCTGTTGGTCTCTCCTTGCCTATTAGGATGAATTGTCTTAGTGTTTATTAATAATGTTATTTTGTGTCAACAGCTCCCAGTATGATGTCTCTACGCCAACGCCACATTGACCCTCAGCTGACCTTGGGCTCCCAGAGGTTGGTAGAGAGTTCCCTGCTTGCAGGGCAGCATGGAGAGGGAACCCCTCACTCATCCAATCCTAGGCCCACCTTCAGACAGTCACGCAGCCATTCATTCGGGCAGCTCGAATGTCTTCCTCTGCTGCCTCTTTCCTCAGCTGTTTCTCATCCGTCAGTCATCTGTTCTTCCAACCTAAACCCCCCGTCTGTACCGTTTTTGTCGTCTTCGTCCTCCTGCTTACCCAGCTCTGTAGCTGGTGGTGTTGCCCCCCATTCCTCCCACGTATATCATGCTTCTTTCCAGCCCATGGACCCCATTCCTGATTTCACGTTCTCAGATGCCTCCAAAGTTCATCCCCTATTCAGCGACAGTTTCGGGTACTCGACTCCTTTCACACACACACACCGTGCATGTGTGTGGGTGTTGGTGTGGTTTTTTTTTTTCCTTTCTTTTTAACCACCTATCATTTTGTCTTAACCCTCGTAGCTTGGCTATCGTATTCTTAGTTTTTGTGTGAACTTGACTAAATCACAGTTTACTTTTTACATATTTTTGCTTTCATGCTGTTGCCCTCATAACCCCCCCCCCCCCTTTTTTTGTTGTCATTTGCAGTGTTTTTTTGCCATAAAACTTAACGTGTGAAGTTTCACTATCCTGTGCTGCGCACCTTGTGGCTTTGCCGGCGTAGTGTGTAGACGAACCCAAGCAAGCATGGCTACATAAAAAATAAAAAATAGTTTTCCTGATTTACTCTAATTTGTGTTTATTTTTATTTTCCCGCAGGGACCTAAATCGCTCTGACTCTGACTCTTCCCTGACTCTTTCTCAAGTTGGTGACCGGCTGTCTGCCTTCGGCTCCAGAAGCCACCTAATCAAACCCACTTCTCTCATGCATGGGTTGTCCCACCGTGCAGACGATACCGTCTCCATGCACGCTTACACTTCCAACGGAGGGAACCGCATTCATGAAGGAGGTGCCGCAGAGGTCGTCTCTGGCAGCCCGATACTCATGAAGGAGATCCACCACATGGAGAAGTCGCCCAGCCTGGGAGAGATCAACAGTCTGTCCGAGTCATCTCGCTCTTTCAGTCCCAACTCCACAGACCTGGATACACCGTCGCCTACAGGAGGGCAAATGGGAGTTATGGGGGTGAAAGGTAGCAGTCGCATCCCGCAGCTGTCCTCCAAAAAGAGCCCCCTGGAGGAAGACAGTGGCTCGACAGGAGAAGAGACGGATTCCACTGCCAGCCGCAAGAAACACACCTTCAAGATCTTCAAGAAACAGAAGAAATAAGTGCGACATGAACTAAGGGCTGTTAGACTGTATCCCTCTGTCTGGTCTGTCATAGCTTTATTTTCTTTTTAGGCTTTTTGGGTTCGTTAATGGATAAATCATGGCACAGTTTGTTGCTGTTGCATCTTTCATGTCGGTTACAACACGTGCTACAGACTGGGAGCAACCAGCCGTTTCTCTTTCTCTGCTTCTTTGGTCAGTGTTTAAAACGAGGGCAGTGGGCAGGTTTGTACATTGGAATGTAAAGTATTTATTCCTGCAGGAAGTCGTGCCAGGGAATGTCTCCCTCTGGGTTTTCTTTTCATGTTCTTCAATCTGACATTTTGCATGTCTCCACTTTTGTTTGACTGGTATTCGAATGCTCTTGGTGTTTGCTCGGTTCTTGTCGTTATCCTGCTCAGAGAACACTTGATGTTCTGTTGGTTACTCCCTAACCACCTGTTCCTCAAACCAAATTGAATCCACACTTTCTTTGCCCACAGAGTACTTTTGTTTATATTGATGTATACAGTTTTTTTATTTGTCTTTTGTTGTCTTGTTGGCACTTGATGATGCATTCAAGGGAACTTTAGGCAGACAAGTCCACGTAAGCTGCAGTAGTTTAGCAATTCAAGCTACACCTTTGTCTGGAAATGTTACTGTTTGAACACTTATTAGTTCTAGCTACTGAATGGAATTCACTGCTACACTCAAGAAGCACATTGCCTAATAATGTTACAAAAGGACAATCAAAATGCAGACTTGGCCCTTTTATTTTGGAGATTGTCTTATTTAGGGTCCAGGGTATGCAATCTTGGAAGTGTGAAGCATGTCTGTTCTTTATCTTACTAAAATATCCAGTTTCGTAAAAGATGACCTCTGGTTTAGGTTGATAAAATGTTTCTAAGATTTGGGAGAGAGCTTTGGCAACAGGCTTCTAGAAGTTTGGAAACGCCATTGGTAAATACTTGACCTCTCTTGGTGATGAGCTCTTAACGATCCATTATTTTCTTCCATCACTACTTGGGTGAACAGGGTGAAAGGTTAACAAGCTTCCGCTGTTTGTCTTGTTTTCTTTTTTGTGGACGGTGAAATCTGCTCAGTGAATTGTCTTTGAGGGACGGGCATCGGTAAGGGCTACACTTAAAGAAAAATCACCTGCTCTGTTAAAGATACAAATATTCATGTTCTAACCACGGAAGTTTGTATGAACGACTTGGCTCAACGGGTCAAAAGACCAATCGTACGAAAGTGCCAAATTCCCGTTTCTTCTCAGAGGCCTTTGTATTTGTCTTCAATTTTTTGAGCCCCTTTTACTTGGAATACAGAAATGCATTATATATACAGTAATGTACATTCAAAGTTAATATTCTGTATGTCCAAAGGTATTGTTTCTGTAACAGTATAAGTACACTGTTTACATTTGTTAGATGATTTCTATCAGATTATTACTACAAAGGCCTTTGTGCCAGTTTTAATGTAAGTTGCTTCGTGTAAAACAAACAGAACTATGCAGTGGTAGTTGTAGGTTCTTTTTACAGTAGTAGGGACGCCAGTACTTTTTAGGGTGCTCCTTAGAAATGATCAACCAAAAAGTGCTGAATCTCCCCCACCCTCAGCATATCAGGTGGTTTGGATGCAGAGGACATGTTTTAATGATCTGTTTAAGAAGCCAGCTGAAAAGATACTTTTACTACTGGTACTTTTTAAAAAGATTAGTTTTTTTTTTCCTGCACGACAGCTGTAAATTGATACCGCCATTTGAATGAGTGAGTAATCCTGTGTCCATCAGACAAAGTGCTGTAATGTTGATGCATGTCAACTGTCACAACAAAACCTATATTGGGTTAAAAGAATGGATCAGCTTGAGCTCTAAGTTCCTGTACTTCATTTTATTTTTCTCATCTTGAGCTTATATTTAAGAATACATGCAGTATATTTGTACAGAAAATATATAATTTTGCATCTGTGGTGGTCTAGACTTTGATGGCACTTCTGCATGATAGCAATAAACTATTTTGAAAGAAAGAAAGAAACAAAGCGTTTTAATTTGTTTGGTGCCAAATTGTTATGAATTTATGAAACGTAACCATAAAATGAGATTCTGGGCAACAGGCCAGTGGAACTGGTGTATCTTTGTGTCTCGGGTGTTAGAATTCAACCCTCTCCACAATCGTCCTCGTCTACGCTGTGCACAAGTGTAGGAACTGGGTGGAGCTGTGTGCTGGTAAATATTTACCTGGGATATGGCGTAGCTGAGGTGGAACAGGATTTGATCCGGATCTGAAGGCTCTTTGTTCCACTGCATGCAGCTTGAACATCTTTAATAAAAAACGGCAGAACATGGATTTCCACGTGTATGAATGTATCTGCCAGCTATGCCTCAGCATGCAGGTAGGAGCGTGTTTACCTTCATCCTCCTCTGATGCTCTGATCCCTTCGGCTTTTGTCAGTTTGGTGACTGTTTGCTTGTGCTCTGTCTCAGATTGTTTGGGGGTTAGATAAGGTGATGCTCCTGAATCCTCCAGGTGACACTGTGCCGGACCATCCATTGAAGGTGCTCTACTCGTGTGATGGACCTTCTACAGTACAGCTGGACTGTGTTGTATCTTTTGAAACCGGCACAGTCTCCACTTTTCTTCTTAGAAAGTGGAGTTGTGTCCCCAGTGACCCTAAAACCAGGACTGTCCGGTTGAATCTGCCAGACTGGTTAGTGTTCCAAGCAGATGGCATCGTTCCAGATTCTGACTGGGTACTGAGTTGTATCCTTCGAGCTTCAGTCAGATACGATGGACTGAATGATGCTAAAATGATCATCAGTGCTCAGGATGCGGCAGCTTTGCACCCAAAGCCTCTTTTTAGTCGACCCGTCAAACCCCACCAGCTTTGTTTTGCCTGGAGCCGACAAATGTTACAACTAACTCAATGGTCTTTCAAAAGACGATGTCCTTTTGAGCAAGGTAAGGCCTAAAACTGATAACACGTGGGTCACCTTAAACCAGTGCAGAACAACTAGAACACATTTGTAGATGATGAATATCGACTTGTTTCAACTGTTCAAAGTCTTCACGTCTTTCAGAAACCGTATACTTGCTGTCCACAATCTATGCCTCAACCGGAGAAAATTTTGGTATCACGAAGACGCTGGAACCTTACAGGAACAAACTTCTGGAGTTCTTGCGCCTTAAAGCCATCACTTTTCCATGGTACGAGAAGAAACGTTCTAGTAGAGTTGATGAAGATGCTCTACAGGCTCAGTTTCTAACTGTATTTCTGCTATAGGTGCAGGATTTCCATTTGGTTGTTTGTGACCAGACATTGCCAGGAGAGACTGTGTGGTGTGTTTCATCACATAGATTCGCATAATAATTACGTCACACCATCACTTTTCCTCAAACATTCAGGTAAAAAAAAAATAACCTTCAAAATATCTTTTTTTTTTTTTTAATCATTTTTTCCAACTTCCATTAAAAGTGGAGTGTGGTGGCCACTGATCACGTCCGCCATCTTTCTAAGAGCTTGTGTCTGAAGGACTTGGAAGGATTTCTTTGCTGTTCATTTGTTTTCTGCCTTGTTTTACGTTTCATTTCTGGATGCAGCTGCAGGTTGCGTTGAGTGACGAAGGTGTATGTGCCTACGATGGTAACATTTATCAAATGTGACACCTGAAGGCTCAAAGGGCTCTCAAATACAAGAGGGAGTTCAGTTTTGACCTTTATGAGATTTACACAGACTCTTTCACTGCGGCATAATAGAGATAAAGAAATGCTTTTCTTTGCCTTCCAAATTTAAAATTCTGCTTAGTTTTTGATCACTGCTGAAAACACTGAATTTATTTGTCTTTGACTTGATATGTGTTAAAAGTTTTAATGAAAACACCAATGGCAGTTTTTTTTTCCCTGTTTAAGAAGTTCAACCTCTTATTAAACTCATAAATTTAGGCCAACTTCACATCCAGATAAGTGGGGAGGCCGAGGAGTCGTCTGCTTTTATCTCTACGTTCCTGGTGCCTTTAAGTGAGTGGTGCCAGTTCAGTTTGACTTTACAAGGGAAAACCGTGAGTATAACGTCTTGTCGACAAAACGTTGTTCAATGTTTTTCTAATGAGAACAATGAAAATAAAGATGTCACTGTCACCATGTTTAGGTCACTGTTTCCATGGAGTGTCTGAATAAAAAGCAAAGAGTTTCTACAGAATATGTGTAAGTCAACTTTAATGCAACAAACTATATTACTAAAATAAAGGAAAAAAATCCCAACTAATGTAAAACTGGTTTTACAGGTTAAGGCATGCTGCCATGTTTGATGACACAGAAGGATATTTTGTAATTGGTGGAGGGAAGTATATTCAAGGTGTGGAAGGTTATTTTGGACCAGTGACATACCATCGCAACAAAGCATCACCTCACAGCAAGGTAACAACTTTCACAACACGGTTATTGAAGTAGTCCCCTGTTCAGGTCATTTTAGTTTGATGCTTCTCGTTCTGCAGCCTGAAGTTGTTCCAGATGTCATTAAGAATGTAAACCTGACTGGATGGCTTCAGACCTGTCAAGAGTTTGTTTTTGAGATGACAGACAAGATCAGAGGCTTTTCACTGGAGGCAAAACGAGGAAGAGAGTCTGGTAATGGCACCCTATGTCCACTAGGTGGTGGTAAAGTAACTAAATGTAAAAGAAACAAACGTTTTGTTTATTTTAGAGGCCTATTTTGATGTTTTCCATGAATGGACTGTAAAGGAGAGACCATCATCACATATGCAGTGTGAACAGTGGGAGGAGACGCCCACTCGCAGAAAACTAGCAGTTAAACTGGCCAAATTACTGGTTTTCAAATATGGTAAGAAATGTATCACCCAAAAATAGATATTTTGATTAAACAGCAAACATTTGTCACAATCATGTTCGCTGTTTGGTATCTGTGCATAAACACACTAGAATTGGGTCACTGAAATAAGCTCAGTTGCTGCCTTGCAGGAGGAAGAGCGGTGAGCCCGACAGCTGTGGGCAGAGCTCTGTACTCCTTATCACTTCAGAAACTGAGCAGAGCAAAGAGCAGTGCAGCGGTCAGCAAAATATTACCACTGCTGCTTCAAGCTGGCTGTCTGGCTGATAACCGAGCTCTGCACATGTCATCTGTGCTCTACAGTTCTGGCCTGGGAGTCCAAAAACAGCCCATCAAAGTGAGTTTTATTATTGAGTCAGTCCACTCTAACAAGCCTGTGTTTAATATGTTTGTGAACACGCCTCTGGATTTGGCACAGGCTTGGCTCTTTGCCCTGGTAGCTGCTCAAAACGATGATCGCTTGGCACTTCTACACCTTGGGCACTTGCATCATCAGGGGGTAGATGGTTTCCCCACAGACCACAATCTGGCCTATGCCTATTATGCTAATATTGCCAAACAGACAGTTGCAGACCGACAGAATCCCACATCGCAGCAGGTAACATTTGTTGGATGGAATGATGTGTAAGAATAAAACTAAATCAAAGGCGTTTTTGATCCTTCTGTCCTGTTTATGACAAGAATCATGTTGCAGATAAGATAATGGGAGAAAAGTCTCCCACCCAACCAACACATATTTTTAGTATGTCCTTGGATACATATGCTGCTAAATTTAACTTTTTTTTTTGTGGCAACAGTTTTAAAAAGACAATGCATTTTCCTTTTTCATCTGTAATATTGGGGTTAAAGATACAGAGTATAAAAAAAATATATTTCAAAAGTCATATTAAAATACAGATTTTTCTGCTATTTGGATTTACATGTGCAAATTGTATACAGTATATATTTTGTCTTTTAATGTGAGACCTTTGTAGAAGCTGTGTATTTGACCGATGACGAGACACTGAAGCTTCAGACCAAGGAAGACCATCACATCTTCCAGTGGCTAAAACTGCAGGCGAACAGAGGAGCAGCTGAGGCTGAGGTACCGACTGTAATTCTGATCTTTAGATTGGAGCTGTAGCAGCTTGGTGGCCAGTGCCACAGTCTTGTAAACCTGAGGTTGCGGGTTTGAGCCCAGGTTGCGTCAGGAAGGGCGTAAAACAAATTTTCAAATCTTTTATGCGAATTCGCTCACTGTGGTGGTCCCTCAAGAAGGGGTAAGCCGAAATAAACTTACAGTAAAGATGTCTAACAAAACTTTGCAAAACATTTCAATGGATTTAATCAATTCCATTGTCTTGCTTCTCTTCGTATAAAGTAAAAAGTTTACTGATTTAGTGCTGCTGTGATCACGGACCCTCGTGTATCACGTTTTCTTTTGTAGGACCCCTTGTTCTTTTACTTATTAAATATTCCAAAATGCACATAAGGGATCTTATTGTGCAAGTATGAGCACATTGTGTCTCTTCACTGGGCGATTGTTTATTTGGAGCAAAAATATGTCCTTCAAAAAAATGTCCCCCCAAAAAAATCCTTTATTAAATCCTGCTTTTTAACTTGATCTCTTTTATACTGTTTCCTGTCGTGTAATGTACACAATGCAAAGTAAATCTGATGGAAAATAATGCATGTGCACGAAAATGGTTTTTATTCATTGACGTGCATGTATTAAATATATTATATAACCAGTTTGTGTAAAATATAAATCTTTGTAAGGATATATTTAACATGTTTAACCTTTTCTTTCCTTTCCCCCCTAAAATATAATAAAATACATTTTCTAGATGCTCTCAAAGGTGGGAATATTTAAACATTTCAACAACAAAAAATCTAATGATTATATTTTCAGCAAGCCATTGCCCGCATGCTGTTCTGGGGTCAGCAAGGATTGTCTCCAAACATCCAGGAGGCTGTGAAGCACTACAGAAGAGGAGCTGTGCAGCTGGAAGACCCAGTATCAATGTATGACTATGGAATAGTACTTCTGCAGGTCAGTCTTCTATGAAATTGGTAAAACACAACAATATTCTACTAAATCCTATACTATTATACTAATCCAATATCCTGCTTTTGTTCCTCATTCACTCTTGAGCAAGATGGCTGCATTTCTTCCCTCTCCCGCCCTCCTCCTGCTTTTTTACTCTCTGTCGTGTGTATCTGAGCTTCTATTCACACAGCTTCCAAATCGTAAATTACTGTCATGGATCTGGTCAGCTGGACTTTCAAGGCAATCAATAACATTTTTTTCAACCAAACGACAGGGTCCTGGAGAACCCTCATGCCCCACTGAGACGCACGCGGCAGGGTACGTCATGGATCCGTGTGGGTTTGGAAGTTGATGTGCCTTTCCGTATTGTCTCAGGAAGACGCCGAAGATGTTTATATCATTGGAATCATGACAGCAGGGTTTCTGCTTTTTGTCATCGTCGGACACCTATTTTATAGGCTATTAAAGAAGATGGCGGCAGCAGTTTTGGCCATGGCAAAGCGGTTGACCTTGTGTGAAGATTTGGTTCGTGCTTCGAGCACTCAAAATCAGCTGATTTACGAGCTAAACTGTAAGATGGAAGGATTTGTGAGAATCGCAGGTCACTTGTGGCTTCTGGGACTCGCCAGCATGTTGGGGACAACCTTGGAGAGAGATAATAAGCACAAACCAGTAGAATGCCCACAATTCTGGCCACTTTGGATCATCGAAACTCAAGGGTGACAAGAAAAAACAGTCTGTCTGAAAAAGAATCAACAACTGTGACTTATCTGAATCTGACTCCCCCGTTCATCCTCAAAGCAGGCCGCCTTATCAAATTTTTCCTGGGATATGTGTAAACTAAGAAGGCTCTGTCTATCGCCCCCGTCAAATGCATCTGCAATGTGTCTATAAATGTGCTTGCTGGTAGAGTATTTTGATGTCTTAAATCGTGTCCTGATAAGAACAAGGTGTGAAGAGATCTTTTTTTGTAATACCCCTATCCTCTCCTCAGGGCATTTTCCCCTTTTCTATCTAAAAGAATAAGGGGCCGCGCTTTTAGGAGCAGCAGCAACGTGCACTCCGCCCATCTTTCAGACGATTGTACGAACATAATCTCACTGTACTTCGGTGCAATGATGATGAGGCTTATTCTGATTCTAAATAGTTCATGGTTTTATCTTGTAGGTCATTTATTCTTTTGAAATAGTTTTGCTGTTTCTCTGTAGGGACATGGGGTTGAGAAGGACATTCAGAAAGGTGTCACATTCCTGAAGAAAGCTATGGAGCAGGTTTGCATGGTTAAATGTGGCTTTTTAGTAGGATTTTTATTTGTAATAAAGAATTAAGGCTGTTTCTTTACCCTAGCAAAATATCCTTTCATTGTTTGCACACTACTTCTAGCCAAGCATCATTCATTTATTTTGCAGGGTTTTGCTCCTGCCTTCAACGCCCTGGCCTGGTATTATGAGCAGTATGAGCAGAACTACGAGCAGGCGGTGCAGCTGTGGGAAAAGGCAGATCTCCTCGAGTCTCCCGATGCTGCTTTGAATCTTGGTGTCATTTACTCACAGGGTCTGTATCCAGGAAGGCCTGCCAATCAGGTAAACTCAGCTGTGCAAGCGTTCTCTAAAACACACGACTTTGAGCCAGTCTGTCAGAAATAGCACCAATGACAATAACAATGTAGAAAAAAATATTAGAATATCTTGAAAAAGTTCAGTATTTTTTGTCATTCACTTCAGAAAGTGAAACTCATATTTAGATTTATTACACATAGAGTGAAATATTTTTAGGTTTTATTTCTTGTTATTTTGATGATTATGGTTTACAGATAATGAAAAACAAAATTCAGTGACTCGGAAAATTAGAACATTGTGAAGAGGTTCAATATTGTAAAGTCCTGGTGTCACACCCTAATCAGCTCATTAACTCCTAGAGCTACAAATGTCTCATTCCTCAAGTCGAGCCACTCCTGAACCAGAGACAATGTCATAAATGTCTTACTGGACTGCGGACTTCAGAAATCCCAGTGGACCAACACCAGCAGAGCACATGGCACCAAATCTATCACCAAATTTTCAGGTCTCTCTTGTAATTGAGTCATCGAGGCTCAATGGGATTTACCTGTCTAAATAAAGGTTGGATGAAAAACAAAAATCACTGACTATGGAAACGTCACTCTGGACTTCAAGCAATGGATTCTGGGCCTCTCCACTCTTCCTGCAGACTCTGGGACCTTGATTACCAAATGACATGAAAATGTACTTTCATCCAAAAAGAGGACATTGGACCACTGAGCAACAGTCCAGGTCTTCATCGCCTCAGCCAATTACGACACTTCTGACTTTGTCTCTGGTTCAGAAATGGCTCGACTTGAGGAATGCGACATTTGTAGCTCATTACTAAAAACTGTGCACCATGGGCGACGGCCTTTTGCTCTGCTGGACCACATCTGTTGAACATCTTTCCTGACCATCTAAGGACTACACAGATTGTGAACGTGATTGACAAACAATATAGAACTTTTTCATGATATTCTAATTGTTTTAGATGTACAGTAGTCCCTCGTTTATTGCGGGGGGTTGAGACCACGCCCCAGTGAAAAACTGAAAAACCGCAAAGTAGGGATACAGTAGTTCAAGTTCAAATAAACTTTGTCGTTACCATTTCATGTGGTACATGAGAACGAAATTATGTACACAAGTAGTTGTAGTAGTAAGTAGCAGTTTATTTTAATATTTATATACAGTTATATATTAAGGCGTTTTAAACCCTTCCCACACTCTTGCAACGTTCCTAACAATTTTCTAAATGCTAAACGCTCTAAAAGAGCACAGCATGTCATGATCTCAGCTCTCTGCCTCCGGCTGCTCTCTGCCAGCGCTCTCAGCCACGCCCACTTCTCCGCTGCAGAGCGGAGAGCTGACATGCTGTAGGAGGAAGCTTCTCCTGCAGCTGTGGGCTGCACACAGGTGCAACAGGTGCTAAATAATTTTAAATAATTTATTTTAAATAAACATTCCATGCCGATCGTGCGGCTCACCCATCAATCAGCCAATTGTGTGTCATGTCCAATCTTACTTTGAAAACCTCGATAAAGCAAGTCAGCGAAAAACAAACCGCCAAGTAGTGAGGGACTACTGTATGTGTATACTGTAAATATTTTTCTCTCCGACAGTATGTGGCGTACAATTACTACTGGAAGTCTGCCAACAGAGGGCACATCCGAGGAGGAGTTCTGCTTGCCGACATCTGGACCACAGGGATACCAGGCTTTGTCGAGAGACGCCCATCGGACGCTGTTTTGTTAGAAACACATCCTTTTCTTCTTCTCACTTCGTGCACGTCTTTCCTCATCTTTGAGCTGCGGTGTCTGTTTCACTCACTGCAGGTGGGTGAAGTGGGTTGCTGAGCACAATGGATATTTGGGCAGCATCTTACGGAAAGCGCTGGACTCTTATCTCAAGGGTGACATGTGGGTTTTCCTCTGTTCTCTGTTACAGTTTTTGTTAACAGCTCAACAGGAAGTCGCTAAATGTCCTTTGATCTCTTGTACAGCTTCAGTTCACTCTTGTTTTACATGATGGTGGCAGAATCGGGGTATGCACCTGCACAGTTTAATGCTGCATATCTTTGTGAACAAAACACAGTGAGTTATTTAAATACAAGTCGTTTGTTTCTCTTCAGTAAACTGATCGTTATGGTTAACACCTTGCTGAAATGAGTTTTTCGCTCGTTTTGTTGCTTTAGGGGAGTTTTCTGGATCCTGCGTATGCAACACAATGCGAGTGGAGATATTACAACCTCACAATCCACAGTCAAAACCCTGAAACTTATGGTAAGACACGAACTTTAACTTTAGTCATTTTAAAACCTTTAGCTTTAGCAGACATTTATTTTCATTATTTTCCAGCCTTTATTAGAATGGGTGATCTGCTGTATGACGGCAAACGGAAAGACTTGTTTTCTGCAGCACAGATGTACAAGCTGGCAGCACTAAGAAACAATCCGCAGGTTTCTTGTTGCGTATTCATTTTAAGGCTTGCATTTATTAATTACTGCGTGTGTAATTATTTTGGTAGAACTAATTCTTCTTGTTTAAAAGGGATGGTACAACCTCGGCCTGCTTGCTGAAGAGGGCTACAAGCTGCCACTTTCCATACTGACTGAACTCGGCCTGTCAGAGCTGTACCTTGCAGACAGAAATGCGCTTCTGAGTCTTTTGTACAAAAAGTGAGTTAACAAGTGACTACTATGCCTGCCCAGCACTTGTCAAGTCAAGTTCAAATTTATTTGTATAGCACATTTAAAACAGGAACTGTTACCAACAAAAGAAAGACATACATGGAGAGACAAGGCTGTAGCCACTTGAGCGGCACCACCTTTTAGATAAGGAAAGTGACGGCATGAGGAAAAGGGGAGATCAGAAACGACCTCAGCACAAAAAGCAACAGATATAGACATAAGATAATACATAACTGGTGGAGGAAATGAGTGTGAGGGAAGCACAGCACAGTCCAGAGGGTCCCCGCCCCCCCAGCCGTAGTCCTGGTAAGAGATGTTTGTTTATCAGCCAGTTCGGTTAAGCTCTGTCACAGGTCCACGACCTTGGGGAAGCGAAGTTGTGGGGAGGGGGATAGAGCATCTTTGTTTCCATAACATCCAAGGAGGAATTGAGATAGTCCGCCTTCCAAGGCCAGATTCAGATATCAACGTTGTTTTGGGTCAGGCCAAACTCGTAAATTTCCCGTGTCTGCCTTACAGTCTTGCTAGCACATTCTCTCATGGCGACGCCGAACAGCAACATTTGATTACTTACGCCGAAGTCGAGCTTACAACTTCTCCAAGATTTATTCCTTCCGACCAACTTGTGAAAGGGAGTAACGATGTTCCTTTTATTGCAAATCTGTATAAAAATAAAAACAACCCTGTATGTTCGTCTTGAAGGTGCAGAGACTCAGAGAACACAGATTCGTACCTGCCTTGTAGCCTGGCTCTTTTTAATGTGTTTCTTCAGTCATTTGACAAGGAGTACGTTGATGCTATTAAGGTTGGTATAATGTGCACATTTAAAAATAAAAGTAAAAAAAAAAAAATAGAACAATCACTTCAACAACAGTCATATAATGGAGCAATGTACTATTAGCACAAGCCAGTGCGCAAATAATAATCATACCTGTAAAGTTTTTATTATTATTTTGCTGACACTGTTCATGTCGTCTTCACAGCTCTTCACTGCTGTCGCCGTGGTTGCAGCTCCAACAATGTTCGTAATTGTCCTCGGTGTGTTCAGGAGACGCATCTTTTCTTCCAGTACCAACTCGTGACTCAAGTCCAAAATAACAAAATAAGCTTTCAGGATAACATCACAGTTAATGTGCTGGCTCATTATAAAATACAAATCTGACTCTTTGAATTAAAGTTTGTTCACGGTGTTGTTCTTTTACGTATCTGTAATGCTGATAAATTAATTCTGTTACGCATGTCATCTTTACTTCAGAGATCTGTTAGAACACTTTTGTTTAACGTATCTCCTTAGGCCACCTCCATGTTTTTTATTTCTCATGCCTCTGGTGTCATTAGCGAACACAGCATAGACTCACAATGATGACATCACAGAAAGGACTTTGGTATGATGAAAATGTGTTTTTCTTCTATTGATGGTCACATTATCCGTCCATCCATTATCTTTACCCACTTCTTCCTTTTTGGGTCAAGGGGGTCACTGGTGCCCATATCCAGCCATCACTGTGTGAGGGGTGGGGGACACCCTGGACAGGTCTCCAGTCCATCACAGGGACACATAGCTACAAATGAGACAAACAACCACGCACTCTCTCACTCACTCACACCTAGAGACAATGTAGAGTTACCAGTCAGCCTAACATGCATGTTTTTGGTCTGTGGGAGAAAACCAAAGTACCTGGAGAAAACCCACACATGCACGGAGAGAACATGCAAACTTCACCCAGAAAGGACCCTGGACTGGGATTTGAACCAGAGCAACCTGCTCGCTGAGAAGCAGCAGCTCTACCAACTGTGTCACCGTGCTGCCCATGGTCACATTATTTATGCTGTTTCTAAAAGACATGAAATACTTTGTACATCTTTATCTTGATGTACAATGATAGTTAAAAATGCAAAATCAAATTTAACCTGCAGCTCTTTTCTACATTACAATTCTGTTTTTGTTTTTCTGTTCTTTTTTTCTGCTCCCCCTGTGTTTCACTCTCTCTGTTTTAAAACAACCACTTATGCAGGACAAAAGCAGCATTTTACCATTTCTGAATGTTACTGAAAGCCATAAATATGTAAACGTGTAGTACCGATTGCAAGAAGAGAGAGGTACAGAGTACAAGTTAAAGTGTTTGTATCAGGTGCTTGAATAGAATCGGTTGCTTTAAACTGAGCTGTATTTAGTTAAAAACCTTTGACTCTTCCCTGCAGCTTCACTTACAGTGTGAAGACTTGGGAGTGAAATCCTATGATTTTGTATTTTGTCTATATATTTAATAAACATGTCTATTTTTGTTCAAATCATAATTGTAACAGTTAATTTGTGTTTTGCATTTCAAACTGCACTATAATAAAATATTTTATTGTGACTGGTTTTATCACTATTAGGCCTGCACTGTGAACATTCCAGTGTTCATAACTTTAATAGCAATTAATATGACATTATACAGTTCTATGGTGTTGTTTTCTAATTAGGGTTGCAGAAAATTGCTTTATATTTATGTGTTTCGTTATGAAATGGTGCCAAATAGTTAATCTTTTTTTTTTCCTTTGGCGTCAAAATGTCAAGTGCAGAAACATGTTGGACTATTGATTTCCCTCTTTCATGCTTTTGTGAGATGTCAAGGTGAATAATTGCACTTAGTATGCAGTGTAAATGAGAAATTAAAGTAGTTTGTTCACATTTTCCTTTGTCTTAATGAAGACAGCATTAGCCATAAACCGTAGATGTGTTATGAATACATAATTTTAGACAAAGGACAGATATTTAAACTTATTTTCTTCCTTAATGAGTTGTCTTTGTGAAATAATCACACCCTTCATCTAATAGTTACTGTTTGTTTCCACCATCAAACAGTATTTACACATGTACAGTTGTTGAGTTATTTTCACTGCGGCTGCGGTTTTGATTACTTTCTATTCATTTAGACATTCTTCTTGCACCAGTATATTGTTTTACATTCATGAAATCAGTGCTGGCATTTGATGCATATTTTTGCAAAACAGCAAAATAAAGTCAAATACAAGCCTCTAGAAGCTGTAAAAAAAAAAAAACTATGTAAGAACAATGTGCACTCTGCAAATTTGGAGTTTTACATATAATTTGCATTAAAGAAAAAAAAAGATTAAAAGTACTTTCTTAAAAAAAGGTAAACCTTTTAGTTTTTTTTTCAAACATGAGAAAAGGTGCTTGTAAACATTTCAGAAATGCTGTTTTGGTGAAAAGCCAGTACTTACATACATGTAGCCTCCTCAGCAGTTTGCTTTCAAATTAACAGGTTTATTTTTTTCCACAGAATAAACGTGGATGTTGTTTTTTTGTAATATTTATCTTCTACTCTTCTAAAAATATTTAATCTGAATCAAGTATCGATTGTGAGATAAATTGTGACTTCAAGAGTTTTGAGTGGAACAAATAATTGATACTCTTAAGATGTTGACAAATTTTAAACATGTAGTTAGGTTTTCTAAAAATCCTCTGGCATCCCCCTCAAACAAACCACAGTTTTCTTTTACTTCATTAGGTCTTTAGTAGAAGTTCTAGTAATTTACTTGCTTTGTGCCTCAATAGATAACTTGATTTTATGTCTGCACGGAGAACTGCTAAAACTTCCAGCAGAAGATCCTCTACAGGAACTGGTGTGGTCCTGATGTGAGCAGTTAGTGGACAAGAACTGATGATTGAGTTAATGTTTGTCAGCAGAGAAACTCCAAAACCTCTTTGTTAATGTCATCTACAGTATTTGTCATAAATATAATGCTCAAAACAGATCAGTTGATCTCATTTGTAAAAAAGAAAATGATAGATTCAGTGTTCCAGGTTTGTGGATTTTATAGTCCTAAAGACGTGCAAAATGCTGCTCAGTGGAGTGAACATTAGCGAAAACACAAAATCTTAAATAAACGTGCAAGTATGGGTTGATTTACTATAATATTTGAATTTCTAATATAAATATCCAGACAAGGGACTCAGGGGTAGTAGGGTTGTAGCGGAGTCGTGGAGCAGAGGTTACAGAAGGTGGGCTGGTGACTGGAAGGTTGCCGGTTCAACTACCCAGACTGACAACATGAAATATGTGGATGGGAAAGGTGAAACACCTTTACCTGCCTCGACCCTCATTTGCCCCACTCTGGGCCTTTTGCTAGGCCCTTAACTCCCAACAACCCCAGATAGCAGCTCTCTGCTCCCCACAGAGGGCTGTGGTAGCTCGGTGGTCTGTGGTCAGGAAGGGATATATATATATATATATATATATATATATATATATATATATATATATACAACAAGTTTTCTTCGTTATTGGGTCACAATATACGGTTGTCTATTGGTGTCTGCACCTCATCTGTGTTGTTTTTTAAAAAACGTGTCCCTCTTATAAATGAGTCCTCATGACTCAATGAGACTAACCTGTATAAATACATGTTGAATGAACAATATGTCTGCAGTCTCATCATAATGTCATGGCAGTTTTTCTCTTAAACTCATTAAACATTTTCATCGTTCCGTGTGCTTACTTTAGGGTCACTCGCTTGTAACATCAACTCATGACTCTTGCTGTGCGCATCAGAAGCCTTTCTTTCCTCTAAATCTTTGTAAATGATTTTGATCTGGGGATATGAGCTCATCTCGCTGCTGCATTCATTCTTAATTGCACGTGTTAAGAGCGTCATCAAACTGTCTGAATTGGAAAATTTGCTGTCTGCTGCTGCTGCTGCTGTGCAATCCCATAAAACTGCCATGTAACTCTAATTCATCTGTTTATAGTAAATCTGCCAAGTGACAATCTCTGATTAAACAATCAGTATGAATGATGAGCAAGTAATTTCCTAGATACACTGGACAAGCCTGGGCGCAGCACTGGACTCACTTCAGCTGCTCGTAATGTGCCAAAAGACAATTCTGCCTTATCAGCAGCTGTGGAAGCTGCCAGCTACCTTGCAGATAGTTTTTTTTTATTTTTATTACTGGGAATAAATGGATATTGAATCTGCGTGTAATGCTGTGAGTGTGGGAAAGTACACTTTGACAGCCAAGCTCATCGTTTAGGCAGAAGTGTTTTACATCCCCACACTGAGAAGTGTCCAAAACTGCAAGAAAAGGGCTATGAGAGACTCACTGAGAGACGGGCCATATTTCTGCACACACATGATCCTGGACCTTCAGCAAGCATTCAGAGTGTTGTAGGATCTTTAGAGGAAGCAGCAACGGTTTAACTAAAGAAATATCTTTAATGAGTCATAAACATGGGCAGCACGGTGGCGCAACTGGTAGAGCTGCTGCCTGTCAGCGAGCAGGTCCCCGACTCAAATCTCGGTCCAAGGGCCTTTCTGAGTGGAGTTTGCATGTCTCTCTGTGCATGCGTGGGGTTTTCTCTGGGTACTCCGGTTTCCTTCCACAGACCAAAAGAATGCATGTTAGGCTGATTGGTAACTTGTCCCTAGGTGAGAGGTGAATGGTTGTTTGTCTCGTTTGTCTCTATGTGTCCCTGTGATGGACTGGAGAGCTGTCCAGGGTGTCCCCCGCCCCTGGCACAGTAATTGTTGGACCTGGGCACCAGCGAGACCCCGTGACCCAAAATGGAAGAAGTGTGTAAAAGATGATGGATGGATGGTTATCCTCCAGCTCACCGTGCATCTTTGTGCAGCTTCTGTTCCGTTCAGTGAGAAGAGCTGCTGTTTTCAAAGAGTAGTTATGTATCAAACCTGAAGTTTCAAGTCTTTTTGCTCATTCAAGTGAAAAAATTAATTTGCTATGTGTTGTTAATGCATGTGCCCATAAAATGATGAAAATATGAAAATGGAATTACTGTATTTTCCAGCGTATAAGTCATAGATTTTGCATAATGTGTCAGTCCTGCAATTTATACGCCAAAGTGACATATACTTTTTTTTTCCATATTCATAAAGCAATTTTTGACTGACACTTTAAATTTCAAAGAACTGCAACAGCGAGTCCTCCCGTGCACGCTCGCTTCACTCAGCTGGTGAAGGTGGAGGAACACTGGAGAGCTAGCGGCTCCTGCTTCAATGGATGGATGGATGGCGCCGTGCCACCCAGGCGAACTTAAGCTGTTTTGACCATTAAATAAGT